AAAAACGAAAAATGAAAATAGAGAGATAGAGGAATAAAGTTAAAAATGTTTCAAGTAAAATGAGCCTAGCGCAAACTAATTAGAGAGTGGATCCAGCGCTTACTGAATTATACTCGTAGCTAGAAGATTCCTGCTGCAAATGGCATTGAAATGCAATTAAATTGTGTGTGTCAGTGTGTGTGTGCGTCTGCGTATGTGTGCGTTGCACCTCAAGTGGATGTCATGTCTCGGCGCAGCAAATATGCCAAGAGCAAACAAGAAACTGGCAGACGGTCAGGAGCAGTAGCAGGAGAAATGGAACTCTACTCTCAGACGTGCAGCCAGTTGCATTGGCAACCGCAAAAGTCAGTTAGCCGGAGCCAAATCAGCCATAGACGTGGACTAAATGCGAGTTGGCTGCACCACCTCCCCTCTCCTCTTGTCCACCGCGGTACCTCGTTTGGCCACTGCGGATACACATTTAACATTTTGGCAAACACACAAGCGAGCAGAGCTACTAGCTCCACCTGCCCAGCCAGAGCCAGCTCCGCCTTAGCTCCACTGCCATATGTTGCCCACTGTATGTATATTGCTGTGGAGATTGTGTGGGTGTTGCGGCAACAACTTTGCTCGCCAAATTCCATTTAAATACAGTAAATGTCATAGAGTTGCAGTTGGATTCCTGCTCCTGCTCCTACACTCATTGTTGTTTGTTGTTGGTCAACCTTGCAACTTGGTTGCCTGCGCTTGGCAATGATTTTTGTAGCCGCAACCAAAGTTCTCAGCCCTCGCTCCTCCTCGCTCCCTCTCGCCTTCTCTTTCTCCCTATGTCTGTTTGTTTTTGTGGTTGCTTAACTGCAGTTGCTGCTGCTGATATTATTGCCAAGAAGTTGGCTTACCTCTCCCTTCTGCACACTCACTTCATTCGCATTACGCATTGCATTGCGTTTAGCCGCAAGTTGTTTTGTCTCCCCTGTCTCCCTTTTGGAAGTCAGTTTATATTCGGCTTGTTTGTCATTTGTCATTTGTAATTTACTCTCGAATTTGGCTGTCTGCCAAAATCAGTTAAGACGCTCACTTTGTCTCTAGTACGAGCCTTAAAGAAAAGCGATTCTTTTCTCTAAAGACTAGCAGAGGCAGAGCTGCGTTCATCTATGCAAATATCAAGCATACGCCGCGTTGCCCTTCGCTGCAAATTGAGCTCTTTAAACTTGTCTTGTCTGCTCGGACCAGTGTAAATCACTCTCGAGTCAAGTGTTGACTGGCGATAACTCAGAGTTACACACACATACACACACGCGACTTATAAAGCATTTATGAACGCCCAGTTGCAGCTGTAGGCGTGCCGCAACTCTGAGGCTTGGCATGCTCAATTCGCGCCTGAGAGGCGTTAAATTGAAAGAGCTTGTAAATTGTAAATTGTGAATTGTCAAACGGCTGGCAAAAACACGACAGACACACACAAATCGAGAGGCTAAGTCAAGAAAAAAGTCAGCTAGCAGCTTTTGCAAATATTTAAATAGCTGCAGTGATTGTTGTTGCTCTTGTTGTTGCTGCTGTTAAATTTGCTGCGTGTTGGCAGCGTCAACATCAACAACCAAACATTTAACATTGAAACAACTTTTGATGTTGACTTTTATCGCATCGGCGGCTTTTGCACAAAGTATTTGCGCAAATATTTTCACCTTTTAAGAGATGCCAATTAAATAAATTATTTATGCATTTTTTGTAGCATTGTTGGCTGAATGGAAAATTCAAATTTGATCGACACTCAAACTAGCATCAATGAGCAAATCAACAGAGCACAGGTGATTCTTGTAAAATTAAATTTCTCATATTATTGAATAATAATATTCATATTCATTAAAAAAAAAAGATTCTGCAAAAAAACTGAATTATTTGTAAATAACATGAAATACGCCTTAATAATTTATATGTGACAAATGTTAATCATGGCTACAAGCCTATTTGACCTGGCCTTGAGTATCCCATTTGAGTAGACTCAAAAGTAAATGCTCTCATCTGTCAATTACTCTGTTTAAGTAGCTACGTCCGTTGACTTCTGCTGGCAAGTTGCCTGGCCAACCAAGGTCAGGTGCAAGCTCACTTAATTGGCATAATGCATAACAACGGTCAAGAGTGAAAACTTCTTTCAGCAAAATACTCCCGACCAGCAGCTGGTCGAGACAACTGCGAAAAGGCATTTTGTGACTGCAGTTGTTGTTGTTGTCATAATGTTGGGTCTGTTGTTGATTCAGTTTGTGAATACCTTTGCTCTCGTTTAAATAGCTTGTCAAGTGGTCAAGCGATACAACAAGCATAGAAAAGAACTTACGCCCTCGGGTCGAGAACTGTGGACAATGACACTTGTATAAGTATAAACTATATAGATACACACCATCTAAATATGGCGACTTCTTTGCATAAGTCGAGAAACAGATATGGCACGGGAAACTATTTTCGATTTTTATTTATTAATTTTTATTTTTATTTTATTTTTTTATATTGGTTGTAGTTACATATTGCTTACACAAAGGAATATATTATTAATATTTGTTTATATACCTATTATTATTCAATTTATTCTTCCTCTTAAAACTTTGATTTAGTTTTGTTAGATTATAGAATTATAATAGTGTAATTAAATTATACTCAGTCATTTAAGAATAATAATAAATTGAATTGAATCACAATAGCCGTGCGACTGGACGTTATTAGCGGAGACGCTATTCATTCCTTTAAATCTTTCCAAACGTCTGCCATCGTTTAATAAATAATCGTTCCTGCTATTTTCGTCAAGTTTAATTCTAATTTTTTGTATCTATTGGCTAGGAGGTTGCTTTGCAGTCAACTCTCAGGGAACTCTCCAAGCTGTCAGATAGCTCTGGGCTTAATTCATTTCTCATTGCGAATTCAATATGCAGCTCGGGCGTGTCCTATGAAATGTGAATGCGAAGTGAATGAATGAATGAATACTGAATGCGACTGCAGCATAAGATGTTATTGTTGTTGCTGTCGTTGTTGCTTGGTGTTTTGCCGCAGTTTGCATACAAAATGACGTCGGCCATTGCATTGGCAGCCTTGCCGAGAGTGTGCAGTGCAGCATGTGAAGCAACAGTGCAGACAATTGCAACAGCAACTGTAAATCGTGGCTAGAACAATGTTGTCCAACTTCTTTTGGCTTCAATGAAAAGTTTTAGCCGAAATTCTGCGCATTTCCATGGCTGCCATGGAGAGCCTTTTATATCCCATAACCTCATGGCAAATGTGAACAGAGTGAGTATACATTCTCTTAGCTGAATCTCAATTAAAGATATGCTAT